CTCTTCTTTGGCTTCTGTCCCGTCTTGCTTGAACGGCTATTGCCTTATCAACAAATATAATTTGCCTGGATTTTCAGGTACCTCATAAAATTTCTCTAGGCTGTTGATATCGTCTGTCAATACACAACACTTTTATTAAGGGGCAGTAAGGTATCCATTAGAAGATTGGTTGAGTATTGGAAATGATCTTATTTAATCAAAGAACAACTAGAAGGAGAGAGAACCAGCTGGGCACAGGAGATGGTTTATAAACACGATTCCTTGCGATCACTCAAGAATAGTCAGCTGATTTAAGCAGACACCTGAAACCTTTATCACCTGCAGGGAGCCCTGGGCACTAAAAAGCAAAAACAAAACCAGCAGGGTGAGCTTGAAAGTGTGCGTGCCTGCCTGCACACATCTGTGCGTGTTGGGAGAAAGGCAAAGGGGGAGCTGGTGGTCTGTCTTCTGCCACTGGAATTTCCTTAGTAGCACTTCCTGCGCTCTGCTCTTCATGTTCTCATTATCCCTCCCTAACTTCCCTCCCTTCGCGTTTTGTTCTCCTTATCTCACTTTAAGAAAAAGCAGGAGAGTGGGCGATAATTAATTTTCAGCTAACGTATAGGTCTTGAAACGTATCCCACTTTTCTCTAAATATCTGATGATTAGATCTCATTCCTTACATTTAGGAATTTTGCAGGCAGAAATAGAAGTTAGATGAGTATTCAGTCAGAGGCTGTCTGCATTGTTTTGCAGTCGTCTCCAATATATTTTAACTGCAGTCACTTTTTTGTAATGGTAACTCACAGAAAGCCAATAACATCCCCAATAAGAGGGTTAATGATGTTTCCTCGTCCTCTAGGGCCCTCAGATTCTGCTGAATCTCTTTCCAGGACTGAGGAAATCCTATTAATGGTGAAGCGAATGCAGATACACTGCTGCTCCTGACGGCCCTCACTCGGTCTCTGGCCCTGGACGATGGCCAGTACTGCAGCTCCTTCCAGAACCCACCTGGGTGTCTGTCACTCATTAGCTCATCTATTCCCAGCAAACCCAGACGTGACAAAGGGGGTATGTCCCCATCAAGACAGCCCAGTGAATAATAAAATCCACCTTGCTGTTGTTCAAGGCCACCAGACATATCCATGTCTGAGGTCACAGAGAGAATTCCCTCCTTTTATTTTAAAAAGTTGGGAGTTTAGCTAGGCAAATTGAGGCTGCTCAGAAAGATATGCAAGACTCTTTATTTTTATTTTTTAGTGGTTCTGCAGATTGAATCTAGGGTCACTGCACTGAGCTACATCTCTAGTCTTCCTCACAGCCTTAAAAAATTGTTTTTTGAGACAGGGTCTCACTAAGTTGCCCAGGTTGGGCTCAAACTTGAGACTCTTCTGCCTCAGTCTCCCAGAATGCTAGGATTACAGGAATCCATCACCATGCCTGGCTCAGGACCCTTCATAAGTACAGCTTTGTAGATAAGCTATCCCCTTCTACCAACTGCCAGAAAACGAAAGAGCAATAATTGGACAAAGGGGGAGCTGTATCTTTCCAAAAGGTTTGGAGAATACATAAAAAAAAATACATTATTCGTTCTACCTGTTTTTATCTGCTGTTGAACAATGTTTCCCAAACTTCACTGTGTACATAAGTTACCTGGAGACCTTGTTAAACTGCAGCTTCTTGCTCTAGCAAATCTGGGATGGGGCTCGAAAGTTTGTGTTTCTAATGAGCTGTGAGGTGATACTGATATCATGGACCTCACCAGAAGAGGCTAGAGCAGGCCACTCTGATCAGTGGCATCAGCATCACCTAGATACTTACTAGAAATGCAGCTTCCAGGGGCCCCAGGCCAGGCTAGTTACGGGAGATGAAATGGCTCCTTAGAAATGTCTAGCCTCTGATCTCTGAATCCTAGAATACATTACATGACTTTTAAGATAGTCCTAATATTCTTTTTTTTTTTCTTAAATTCTTTTATTCATACATTTTAGGTACACAACACAATTACATTTCTCATTGGGAATTGTACCTTTACATAATGCATCTCGGTTCTTAGGTTTTCCCCATTCCTAGCCCTCCCTTCACCCCCTCTACCCTTCCCTATTTACAAAGACTTTATTTCCATTTTTTCCATTTCTCATCATTTTTCCTTTCCCTTCTTTCCTTTCCCCTGCCCCTCCCACTACCCCTACCCCTACCCCTGTGGACCTTGTCTTCCTATTTTACATTTTCTATTATTCATTCTAATCATTGGTACATTTTAGGTATACAAGATAATGACATTCATCATTGGAAATTTGCACCTTTACATAGTCTCTCTTGGTTCTTATTTTTCACCCTTGCCCAGCCCTCCCTTCAATCCCTCAATCCCTCCCTATTTACAAAGATTTTGTTCCTATTTTTCCATTTTCTCATATTAATTCCATGATGGTGTAATGGGCCCAATCTAATTACAGTAAACCTTTCAGAGTCGAGAACTTTCCCTGGCTGGAGTCGGAAAGATGTAGCAGAAGGCAGAGTCAGAGAGATTCAAAGTGTGTGAGGGATTCACTTGAGAGAGGAGCCATGTGGAAGGAAAGAAGGGAAATGCACCCCCCACACAGCCAGAACAAAGACTCGCCATTGACAAGCAGCCAGCACAGAAATGGGGACTCCCTGCTACTGCAGGGAACTGGGTATGGGCAGCAATCTAAATGTGCTTGGATTTAGACCTGTCCAAAGGAACACAGCTCTGCTGTCACCTGGAGACTCTAAGCAGAGAACTCAGTTGGACAGAGGTCTTCTGACATGCAGAACTGTGAGATCACAAATTCGCATTTTTGCAGGGCACCAAATTTGTGGTCATCAATTTTTAGCAGCAATAGGAAACGAATGCAATGGCTGAAGCAGACTCTGAGCATAGGGGCTGCAGTCTGTTCACACAAGCTCTGCAGGTCATCCTGATGCTCACTGTAGAAAGATCGTGCTTTCGAGTTCAGCATAAACGAAATTGTACCACTTGATAGCTGTTGTGCATTGGTCGATCTTCCTGACATTTCTGATCTTTAGTTTTCTTGTTGGTAACATAGGGTTAATAAAATGGAGCAGAATACTTAATAGCTCTAATTTTAGCAGGTTCCCAAAGGTTGCCTTCTTTCCTTTCTCCCATATCTTCCTTCCATGGACACAATAGATATTAACAGCACTGATAATTCTTAGGTCATCTCTCTGAGGCTCAGGGCTGGGAACTTGACCTTGATTGTCCTTGTGTACCTGTGAGCTGGAAAGGAAGAACAGAATCACAGGAAGGAGCTACAAGTGTAATTTCTAAGTAACTGCTTTGCTCAGCTTAATTGCTACTCTTCAGAAAGACAACAATGAGTTGTGTCCCTTGTTTTTAGAAAAAATTTCAGCATGACCTAAATGTATATATAGAACATTTGGTTTTAAATGTGACTTTTTAATCATAACAAGAGTCTAAATTGGATCTTTACAGTAGTTCCACAACAGCTAAGGTATGTTTCTATTCTGTGCACTGTTAAGGATGCAATGCACTGATTCCAATTTGCTAGTCTACTGGAGAGCTCTAATCCTCATTAAGTTTTCAAAATTCAAGTGTGTTTTCTTTTATTTGTGTCCACCTCTGAGCTGGAAATATGAAGTTGATGTTGCTTTTTATCCATTCTGCATGGTGAGCTGCCTTCTCTGATGATTATATATTCTCCTTCATGATACCTACAGCCATTTCTTTCTGACCATCAATCACTGTATGATGAAATTTGTTGATCAGGTTTATTTTGCAAATGATGCAGTTTGCAGTGTCCCAAGTTCATAGTCATTTTCCATTGCTGTCTAGACGGGACTAAAACTCTCAATCAATCAACACTTCTAGATTATTTTTTCCCTCTCTGTGAAATAAAAAAAGTGAATTAAGAGTTAAATTAGGCTTCCTGGCTTATGTATTTATTAATCAATCAACCTTCCACATAATACTAAATTAATGTTTATGGCACAATATCTGCATAGCGATTTCAGGGTCTGCCAGCTCGAAAATTGCTGTGCAGAAGCAAGACTCTATCTGCTATGAACATTTTTATAATGAGCTGCAGCCCTAGAAACATTGAAAACCATTTAAAAAGTGACCTGAATAATCTCTCAGAGAAAATTAAATGGGTGAAAGATTATGAAAAAGAAGTAAATATATACATACATGTTTATATATATATTTCAACTGCATTAAGATGATGTCTGTTCTTTATTTGCTTTTGTTGCCATAAAACTGCATCTGGGTCACTTGGAGAGGCACTGGGGGTTTGTGTGACTGACAGAGACCCCTCCTTTAGGTACACATGTAGCCCAAATCTCCTGCATTTAGGTAACATTTCTTCTTATTTACATTAAATGTTCTTAGTGGCCAGAGAACAATGCTAAATATCCTTTTATGAATAACAAGGTTTGATTTGTCTCTAACAATGGGGTAAGAGTGGAATTAGTTACCTAAAGTTTGATCTTCAGATCCAAAGCACCAGCATTGGCTGGGAGCTTTTAGAACTGCTGAATCTCAGGTTTCAGAACTTTGGAACCAGAGTCTGCATTTTGACAACAACCCAGCCGTCTTGCTGTGTGTTACGTTAGGAACCACTGGGTGACAAAAGGCCTGGGAGGCGGGGCTATGTGGACAGCGGGATGGAGAAGACAGTGTTGGACAGAACTGTGCCTCCCACCTGCTGTTGTAGACAGAGGTTGGGGAGACGCTGTGTGTCCTCTTGGGACATTTTATCTTGGGGTTTAGTAGACAGCATGTGTTCAGTAGCTGAGTGGACTTGAGGGTGTTCGTGTTGTGCTCCAGCAGTCCATATGGCCCGCGTTCCATTCCCCAAGGTAGTGTCTTCAGAGTGTTAGCATGATTGTGAATGAGAAGCAGCGTGCGCTAGTGGCGCCCTGACTGCACAGAGCTAGGTTTTAACCATGTCTTTGATAATGCAGTTGTGTGGATAGTTTCTTCCTGTGTAAAATAGCAAGACGACAATGTCTCACACAGGAGGATTACATAAGATGATGCATAGAAAACAAGTTCTGTGACCAGAGAATAAGTATCTTAAAAGAGTGTCTTTGCTTCTTTCTGATCATTCTTTGGTCCACCCACCTACCGATCCCATTCCGATTGCCATTTAGACAAATGTACATGTCAGTTAGCCTCTCTATCTGTCTCTTCAACCTACCTTACCTATCCAATCCATCCACCCATCCATCCATCCTCTATTACCTATCTCATTTACTCACCTTTTCTTGCTTTCTACTCCTCTTTTCTGTCTTTTGTTATGCGTAATCATTTTCTACCTTGCCATCAGCCATACCACTACCACTGTCTCCACTTTCTTTCCCACACAGGAAAGTCAAAGCATTTTCATCAAGGCACTTGGGAAAAAGTGTTCCGAACAGTTGAGCCTGCAGGCGTTGGATGCTATTGTCTTCCTACTATGAGTCTGGCTTCATCGTCTACCACTTTCCTCTTCCTCGAAGATGACTGGTGCTTCTCAGAGCTGACCTTTCCAGACCCTTCCAACATGTTGTAGGAGTCCTCTGGCCCAGTGAGATGGGCACTGCTCTCTGTCCAATGCAGCAGGGACATCTGCAGCCACCTTGGCCACACGCACCAATACTGGTGAGAAGGGCGACCCTTAGGTTGGACTTTTGTTGGAAGCTGGATCTTGACACCACCCTGGGGATACTAGACTCTGAGTTCCCCTCCCTGCCCCGGGTGAGGGAGGAAGGAGGAGAATACATACCCTGTGCCTGTGCTTTTGCAAGACAGCTCTTGAGCCCAGGTGTCTCCAGGTAATGGGTATCAAGGATCCTGACTTTGAGAGAATGAGATTTTGATACTGAAGCTGATCCTGCAATATGAACTGGAATTATTCCCTGCTGAGCCACACTGCTCATTTATCTAGTATGTGACAAAAAAAAAAAAAATCTGCTCCAGTATATGGTTTCACCTTTTATAGAAAAAAAGAGTCATTTTAATTGCTAGTAAGACTACTGGGTTACTTTAATTTGCAGGCTTTTTATTAACTGTGATCTATTTCATTTAAAGCAGCAATAAATGAGATTTGGTGCTAGCCTTCCAATTATTAAATTTCACAGGCGCTGTTAGCAGACTGGAGGTCACCCTTCTGAGAATTTGCGCCCTGTGCGTTTAAGGACTTTGCATACTTGAAGGGTACACAGAGTTCTCTCACATAGTAGGCTTTTAATGAACCTTTGAAAGGCTGAAAAGGTACATGCACCTACACTTGTCTCCCACTTCCTTTGATACTTACTCTTGTTCCCACCGACTGAAGGGAGGATACAGTTTCTCTTCATTAAATCCCTGTAACCGAAACAAGGAACAGAGGTTGCTGAAAATACCGACTTCAGAGAGGAAAAGCTGTACATTTGTTATAGTGGACTAATCTGGCTGATAGCCTTACTCTACTTTTACTTGGAGGAAGGCCCATGGAAATAGTAGCTACCTAACATAGCATGCCCATTGTGCAATGCATGCCAATGATGGTTTTCTGTGTGTGAGACCTAAGTCCTATTCAGCTCTCTTAGCAAAGAAACAGCATGTGTGGATAGCAACAATGTAACCGTAGAATCTTGGAGACCCATATTCTTGTCCCAATTCTACCCAGCTCTGAGTTGTGACCTTGAAAAAGTTACCCGTCTCTTTAGAGAGCACCCATACACCTACAAAATAGGAGGAGGTTGGGGATGAAAATGTCACCTAGGTTCCATTGGGTCCTGAAACTCCATCCTTTTCATACCGCAGTCAGGTATCAGACCCTGAGGGTTACATTGAAACTGTTTTCAGCTTGCTGTTGAACGTGGGCTGGACATTCTAGGTCTCTAAACTGTAGTGTGAGAGACCTGGTCATGAAAGCACAGAAGCGGACATGTTTGCTGAAACAAAACGGCAGGGATCCCGGATGTGGGGTTGCGCAGGTTACCGGAAGAGACAAACACGGCTTGCTTGAGTGTGATGACTCAGAGACGTTAGTTAAAGAGAAGACCTTGAACTGCCATGTTTTGATGTATGTGTACCCTCCGGGCTGTGGCCCGCTCACCCCAACCAAGGACGCAGGCTTCTTGCATTGCTTCATTTCTCTGGTCTTGTCCCTTGCTGTCAGTTGTCACTTCTTATACTGTTGGTTACCGGGGGAGCGCAGGTAACTAAACTTAAAATCAATAACCTTAAATTTATATATCACACTAGGGCAGCGCCCTTTGACTTGAAGGCGACTCCATTTTTTTTTTTTTTGCTTTGGAGAAAAGGGCATACGTTCTTGACAACAGATTACTTTGCAACTTCTTGGCCTTTAAACTGACTTACTGGGTTGATGGCAATGACTTGAATATCTGGAGTTGCTAGAGATCTAATTTATCTAATCAGAGCAGTTAAAGAGGGTGTTCTTATGTTTGATCGTATGCAAATGCATATTCAGAAATATATCAGATAAACATGAGTAGTTTGTAGGAAAATGGATGCACCTTGAGACTACAGTGTTAAGTGAAATAAATCAGACCCACAAGCTTAATTATCACATGGTTTCTCTTATATGAGAAACTCAAATTATAAATGAAGAGCAAAAATAAAAGAAAAATAGTAGGAAGTAGAGAAAGAGATCTTTGTTAAAGGGGGTGGGATCAAGGGATGTAGGGAATGGGGAGGGAAAGGGAATGATAAAAGGAATTACAATGTGTTAGCACATGCACCAACCCCACACAAGGAATGTGAACATTATGTACTGCAAACATGTACTTATAAAAAAAGAAAAGAAATACATCCTGTTCAATATATTAAAGAACCATGTTTAAAACAACTTCTTAATTCCAAAGTAGTAGTAGGCACAGTGTACTGTCTGTAGTGGACAGCTAATAGATGTTGTTAAAATGCAATCTGAACTTGACCATCACATATATTTGGTGGTCATTTAGATTTCTTACACATTATACAAGCATACCTTCTGAATTTCTTCAGGCCTACCTGGGTTATAAGTACATGTGAGTAACAACTCAAAGTTTTGCTTGGCCCAAGATGCTCACACAGGCTTTCAAATTTCCCTAGGTGCTTATAAGCATATATGTTACTGCAGGTGCTAACACAACCCCCTTGTGAACATCGGTGTGTTTTTTGAAGATCATCTTAGGAAGCACTGGGGCCCCAGAACAACTTGAGCTGTGCAGCATTGTATTGAGAGGTAGACTGGCTTCTGTCTTTCTCTTCCTTTTACCTTCTTGTTACTTTTGGCAGAGGACAAAGGAAGCTTTCCTAAGCAGACTAGTTTTAGTGAGTTAACCTATCTTGTTGGTTCCTCCTCCATTCTGTCTCTCTTCTTACAGGTCTTAGTCAAGTGTTTAAGTCATACTCCCTTGCTAGGTGCTGTGGGAACATGGTGGAAACCTTAAGCATGGAAGCTTCTGTGGGATCTTCCAGTCACTGGAAGGGGATATGCCCTTGCAGGAGAATGAGAGACTCCTGCCCCTTCTTTTTCTTTCATTCCAAACCAAGAGATGAACAGGCTTGCTCTGTGACACGAGACTGCCAGGATGTGCTGCCTTGCCATAGGCAAAGCTACAGAGCCAACTAATCATAGACTGAAGTCTCGAAAACTGTGACCAGGGTAAACCTTTCTTCTTTGTAAGTTGATTCTCTCAGGTATTTTATTACAGCAACGGGAAGCTGACTAGCATAGGATCCATCATGCTGAGAATGTTGCAATGCTAAAGCTTCCTTCTGTGTCATGCTCATTCTGCCTATGTTGTCTTTCCTCTGATAGAGCTCTAAGAAGTATTTTCTCAGTACTTCCTCTGCATAAGTTCACTCTACCAAGTCACTGGATATAACTAAATAATGTGTGAGCCAAGTTAAATGGAATCTTCAGCTTGTTGGATACTGTACACTTCATGTAGGAGCTCATCTGGCAGGTGATATAGCCCCAAGGCAGTCAGCCTTCGGTCTTTCAGGGTTTGAGATATAGCACAAGTGTCATTCATGTCATGTGCCCAACTGAGGGTGAGTTCATGGCTTTTTGGCTTCTTCACCAATAGATGAGAAAAGTCAGGGAGAGAAAGCACCTTATATACCATTTTAGTAAGGTGTGTGGTGAAAAGAGAATAAAACGATAACATAAAGTGGAGTGTTTGAAATTAGTGATACATTTCCCTTATGAATCAGCTCCTTGTTTTCTCTGAGTATAAGGATAACAGAAGAGTACACATGCACTAATACACACACATACACACACACACACACACACACACACCAGCTGCCAAATAGAGCATGTTCACTTCAATCCTCCTGGAATATGGTTAAAAGATCAAAAATATAACTCCTATTGCTTTTCCACTTCCAATTGCTGTTGAGAAAGTGTCTCTGTTATGTTTCCATTTGGCAGACTAGACCTGGTGGCATTTCAAAAGTGAAGGTAAAATGTTAGTGGAAAAAATGGACTTGTGTGTATGTGTGTGTGTGTGTGTGTGGTCTATTTTCCTCAGCTGTCATCTACTTTACAAAGATGTTCTTAAAAGGTATGGATAAACCCAAGGCATTGCTCACGATACACTTAGGCACTTAGCCTTGGGCCAAGCTCAGAATGACCTTCTCAAATCCAGTAAACAGTAGCTCTGTGACTCTTTTATTACATGCTGTGATGCTCACAGTCATAAGTGGTTACCCTGAACCTCGACCCCTTTTTGGTTTTTGAAGTTATAAATCAATGAACTTGAAGTGATGTATGTAGAAGAAGTTTGCTTTCTCTTTGCACAGTGCCCTGAACTTTTGTAAGAACTTATTCTGCAAAGTGTATCTATTTCTGATATAATGAGTGGAAAAGCAAAGAGGACAGAGAAGAGCAAAATTAAGAGGGATCATATCACAAGTCGATATTTTATCAAGTTCTTTTAAAAACACTTGATTTTTGTGATAGTGGCAGCTTTCTAAAAATATCACCATAAAAATATTTATGGGGTTTTGTCAATCAAGCAAGCAAGAAGAAGCTCTATTTGAACATTTATCTATGTCTTGGTTTTATTAATAAATGAATAAATAAATTTATTTACCTGACTTATATTTATTAACTGCCTTCTTGGTATTAATAAGGCTTTCTCAGGAAAGGCCCTAGTTCTAATTAATTAATTAATTAATTTTTTTTTTGTTAATTAATTTTTGAGACAAGGTCTTGCTATGTAGTTCAGGCTGGCCTTGAATTCACTATGCAGCCCATGCTGGCCTCAAACTCATGTTGATCCTCCTGCTTCTGCCTCCCAAGTGCAGGGATTTCTGGTATGTGCCACCATGCCTGGCAAGCTCCTAGTGTTTAAAGAGAGACAAAATTCTGAAAGCACAGTGTACATATGATGCAATATAAGGTAACAACTGGAACCCCTTTGGGGTAGTGAGATTCTGTCCATCCCTCACTCATTTACTCCTTTGTGCATTCATCTGACTTCTGCTTATGTCCTAGACCTTGCATTAGGGGGTCAGCAAGGAACAATGTCAAACAAGACAGGACGAACCACTGTTCTTCCTCATGGTACTTATGTTTTCATCGGGGAGGAAGGCATTAAACAAACAAATAAATAAATGCATTCAATGAATACAATAAATATCATAAAGTTGTGAGAAGACCTGTAAAGGAAAGTAGGAGGATTTGTGAAGTTGTGTAGCAAAGTCCTCAGTGGTGCCTGGCAGTACTTAGCCAGCCTGCAACTGAGCTTCTTACAAGCTTCGAGCACCCACACGTGCTGGGTGTACTGTGTGCGGCTGAGCTGGGCCGCCACAGGCCAAGAGCGCATCAGTCTCCTTGAAATCCCTTGGTTTGCTTCCCACAGCCAGACTGTGTTGTGGGAAAGGAGCTGGCACAAGAATCAACGACCTGATTTTCAATCTTGGCCTAGATACTAACAACCTTATGACATCGGGTAATATGTCTGGGTTCCAGTTTGTCTCATGTATAGATGGAAAGAGTTTGGCTGGATGCTCTATACATCCCCAACAAACTATGAAATTCAACATTCCCAGCAGGATCAGTAATTTCCCAACCTTTTGCAGAAGGGCTAATTTCTACACTGAGATGAAAGATGGGCGTGTCCTTGGTATGACCTAGAATACTATTCAATAGGATTAGGGAAGGCTTTAGGTTAGACAGATTCAAAAATGCATATGCTTAGACCTCGTACCCTTACATTTTTTCCAGTGTTGGTAAAAGCAGCAAGGTACCTTCTGGAGTCGGTGCAGAAAGAAGCAAAAGAAGTGGGCAAAGGCTTGAGATGGGGAAGGCTGGGCCCTGGACTAGAAATCCAAATACTTGGGTCCCTGTCTGGATTTTGCCACTTTCCAGCCTTGACTCACTGAGCAAGTTACTGACTCTCACCTGCTTACCATCCTCCTACAATTGGAAGGTAGAAGTTGCCCTGAATCAGTGGCGTTCTACCTTCATATCAGCAGCACTCACTCTTTCCTCTCAAGCCATGCATGGAACCCCAGCATGTTTAAGAGTTAAAAGTGAAGTCACACTGGGTGCAGCATTGATTGAAGCCCTGTGACCACACTAACTGGGGCTTTCTCCTTCCTAAAGAGCTCTGGAGCAGGACCCATGACTTCTGGAAATTCACTTTGCAAGCCCCTGGGCTAGAGAGTGTCTGCATCTCACCAGTGACAGTCTGGGCACAGGCATGGCCCTCTGAAGTCCCCTCACTGTTACCAGCACACGCACGACTTTACCCCTGTTGGTACTGGCAAATCCTCCTTGTCTCCTGCATGGCCACTGAACACTGAGATATGAGTGCTGGGGAGTTTGCCTGCCTGCACTTTCCAGCCACTCCTCCTTAAGTGAATGCTGGCTGGCATTTAGGGCAATCTAGAGGGTTAATGACAGCCCATAGTGCTGATTTAATCCTGCATTAGGTAAAGATGCTGTACCAGCCGTGGAACACTTGACTTATGCAAATATGACCTTACTCAGAGTGTTCTATGAAGTCCATAATAACATTTTAGAGATGGAAATTTCATTGTGGGCAGCAACACAAAGTTCTGGGGCAAGTGGCTGACTGCCGCGAAGCCAGGGTGTGGGGCAGGCGGCTGCCACCACGGGGGAGGGCTTTGGACCTGGCTTTCATGTGGCTCTGTGTTCCTGCGGATTTTTGCCGTGGCCACATGTGGTATTTCAGAGTCATTTGTGTTGTTACGCCTTTTATTGTGCTCTCGGTGTGACTGAATGGAAACCAGGTAATAGCAAGGGGGTACATTAGAAGAGAAAGACATGAAAGTTTAAAGGGGCTTAACAGTGCCAAAGCCTTTATTCCATTATGTATGGGTTTCATTTGGCTACTTCAACAGTGAAAAGTATTTTGAACAAAAGCACATGCTTCAAGGAGCACATAAAGTTTTCTGCACATGGTGTAACGCTCAAGTGGCTAGGTTCTGGAACCATACAGATGCTGAATTTTGTCTCAGCTCTTCAAACTGCTAATGTCTCACAGCCTCAGTTTCTCATCTATAAAATGGGTGTCCTCAAGATTAAAGAAGTAATATGTGGAAACTGTTAACTTTCAGCCTGCTACTAACAAAGTCCTGTGATTCACAATTAAATTCCTTCTTCACACTGTTGGTAACATTCCCCTTTCATAAATTCCTCCCGCTTTGATACTACTGTGGGGTTTTTTTGAATACCTACAAAGACAGGATGTAAATTGGAGAAGTCAACAATAATGCAGATAATAGATGCAATTTAAAAATGTGTGCTAGACATTCAAATGATAAGCACAAAAGAGACAAAGGGGAAATACAATTTTTGAGTGCAATGCTGGATAGCTCAATAGACTCAAAATTTTTTCCAGTGTTCAAAATGTAAAAGTGTGGGTTTAACGGGGTGAGCACAGTTATAAAAGCAAATGCTATGTCTCCCAAAATGTTATGAGTAATTATAGCGAGATCATGGTATTGCACATGGCAACTTTTTATTGTGAATAAAATTGGATTGTTTGAGGGAATGATGCCAAAGAGTATGATTAAAGATAGCAAAAATTGCTGCTATTAAGGGCCACAAAAGCTAGTCATTCATATTTTTTTCTTTAAGGCTTAAATTCCTAAAAGAAATTGTTGAATTCCTAAAGAGGTTCTCAAGCTATTCTTGACACTGGTTTATCATGAAGCACACCCACATGGGCTTAGCAAGGTTGCAAGTGTGTGTTTTTGCCACAGGTGTGGTGCAGGGAAGCCTGGGGCAGAGTGGGTGTGAACAGTGGTATAGGCATGGATGCCCTGATGAGGAGGCCCAGGGCGACTATGCTTTCATCTTTGGAAAGCTTTGGCAATGGAAAAGCCACTGGGTCTGATGGCTTTGTGTTGCCTGAGGCTCTCTCTCCATTATAGATGTATATTTTTATTTTCTTGGCTTTCAGATGCTTGTAGGTTCTCTTGAATAGACTGCTGACATTCCCGTGTGGTTCACATTTACCTGGGGTGCACCTGAGTTCTTGTTACTGTCTAGAAGTCGGGCTGTGAAGACCTCCAAAGTCATGAATTGGCACTGCCTGTGTTGATCTTCAGTCTCACAACTCCATCAGCCAGAATCAACTCAAACAATTATTTTTATTATGGTAAGAACGTTTAACGGGAAATCTATTTTCTTAGCATTTTTCAGTGTAAAGCACAGTGCTGTTGGTCATGGGCACAGTGTTACACAGCCCGTCTCTATCAGTTTCTTGTCTTTATACCTAGTGAACACCAGGTGTTGAGCCTTCTCTCTGTTGACACTTGACATCCGCTAGACAGCATCTTCCCATTTCCTCTTCCATAGCCCTTGGCCAGAGGCACTCTATTTTCTATCTCTGAGCCCGACCATTTTCAATATCTCATATAACTGCAGCCATGTGGCATTTGTCTTTCTGTGGCCACAGTGCACCTTGCACCTACTGTCATTCACTTAATTCACCTGGGACCCAATCTTTCAGCTCAGCGCAGAGCCTGGAATACAGAGGAGCACATGTTGTTCGGTTGCACAGAGAGAAGGATCTGTTCAAATACATGTCTTTACAAAAAATCAACTCACGGATAAATACTAAAGGTGACAACATAGCACAGGGGATAGCAATAATAGCAGTATTCATTTGCTGAGAGTTTACTGTGGACCAGGTATAGTGCTCAGTTTTGCATTACTTGAATCCCACAACTCTAGTGGTAAGTTTTATGGTCTTCATTTTATGGTTAAGTAATGGTATTTTAAGGTCTGAGGAATAGCCAGGAAGGCAACAATATGATTGCAGTTGGGCCACACACTGGAGATTACATGCTTATCTAATGACTATTAATTACCCTGAATTTCAGTATTGTCTGTACTCTTATGGATATCTGAGCAATCATTGTAGTTATCTGGCCACACTTTTCCCTCACATAGAGTCCATTTGGTCACTCACTTTTGGCCTTACCATTCTGGGTGATGTGGGTATTTTAGATGCTCTTATTATTTCAGTGCTCAAACCCTTAAATAGGTGTTGTTCAAAATGAATTTATCAAGTCACAGTTTTAAGTTTTTAATCGTGTTTCCTTTTTCAAGTTGGAACATTTCAATCTGATTTACTGTTGAACTAAGATGAATCGACTATTCTCTTAGAGTAAAAACTTTTGCTTCTTGATTCTTAAGCAATGTCCCTCAATGCCCTATGACATGTACATAGCCAAAGTGCATCCTGGCATCCAGAAATGATATTTACGGGGAGGGAAGACTATTGTAGAATAGCTTTACTAGGAATCTCTCTCTCTCCCTCCCTCTCTCCCTCTCCATTATATATTGGGGAGCACCAATGACATTACTAATAAATAAACATTAGCACTGAAAACAGCTGTGGCCAGAACACTTCTAATGGGAAATTTTTCAGGAAATACCACCATGTGTCAAAACACAGACTCCAAGCACTAGGAGATCGATGCTCTATTCCTAAAGCATTTGAATACACTTTATATCATCCAGCGGAGTATAAAACGTAAAAAACTTAAAAATAAAAATAGTTCCTAAAGGATAACTTAAAAAATCAGCTCAAGCTTATTTTCTCATTAATTTCATGCTCGTTAATTTCATAATTTAGTGTGTTGTAGAACTGCCCTGAACTACGGGCCTGTGAAGAACATCTGAGGCTAGATGCTGGGGAGCTGCAGAGCAGGTAAATAACCAACGGTTGGCTTGGCACAGGCACACATTTTAATTACACTCAATTTATGCTAGGTCAGCATTCCAAGGGTTATCTGAGCTGTGCCTCACCTTCCACATGGAAGGTCTGTCACCGACCTTGAAGGAAGAGAGTTAATCATGAATAGCAATTCGGCAATTGGCCACGTCATTAAATAACTGGGGTGGGGAGGGGGAGAGTTCATGGGTTAAAAACGTGAAGCTCATGATTCTGCCTACTGAAGCCTCAGGTTTTATGGTCTCTTTCTAAGCAGGGACAGGCACGCTCTCAGACACCACATTTTCTTTCCAGCTGCCCACGTGGGCTGCACTTAGGAGCTCTGTCTCCAGCTGTGTCTGGGATTGTGTGACTTCAGCAGCTCCCATGGAGGGGAAACTCGCCAGCCTCCTGCCTGATGTCTAACAGACAGCAAATGAGTGCAGGTAGAACTGACTGAACTCTAGTCCGTCCGGGTCACATGCGCTACTTGGGTTGCAACTTGGAAATTCAACTTCACATAAAAACCCGTGAAAGGATTGTTCTTGTTTTACTCTTTCAATCTTAATTTTTTTAAAAAAGAAAACCTCTCTTCCTTACTTTCCCTAGGATGAGGAATTCATCCTAGACATAGAGAATTTTGATCTACATATTATATAGTGTTATTTCTGTGCCTTAAAATTATATCTAATCATTTATATGTATAATTTTAAGGCAGACAATGATTTTTACATGTACTAACTCCACATGATCATTAGGTACCACAAGCATCAATACTGTATGGTATCTCTTATTCGAGTAAGGCTAAGTGTAAATAAAGAGCAAAATCGAGGTTTGATAGAAGAAAGCAGGGAGATAGAGCTTTTGTAAATTCAAAGAGGTTCAAGAGACAAAGGCCAAGGGAAGTAGGGGTGAAGAGGAAGTAAAAAGATTTAGAGGCATCATTACAGGTACCAAATACTCACCATGAAGGTAAACATTAGATGTGGTGAATATGAGCTAAAATAATATTAGCAATTGCAATGAAAATGAGGAAAGGGAGCTACAGAAGGAGAGAAGGAGGTAGTGGGGAGGTGAAGGGAAATCAAAACCAACCGAGACATGTCATGTCCATCATGTACCTACCCCCTAGAAGAAAGGTAAACTTCATGCATTACAAACATGTACTGATAATATATAATTAGAGGGCTGGGGATTTAGCTCAGTGGTTTCACCGCGTGCCTCACAAGCGCAAGGTCCTGAGTTCAATCCCCGGAACCACCCCCCCAAATATATATAGAATTAGAAAATAAAAATTAAAATTAAGAGAAAGATTTTTTTCAGCCTCATACTAGTACTGTGAAACACTCCTTATTGCTAAAGTCATGGGTTAGGGTTAGGGTTAGGGTTAGGTGTGGTTTTGAAAAGTGCACGAAGGCTTTGGAAAGTGTCCTCCAGCCAGCAGGTAGACCACGGAGCAAACCAGAGGCACAGAGCACCTGCACGCCACAGGTGTGGCCTCTCCCAGGCTCCCAGCCATGCTGTCCACCACATGTGCCCATGAGGACACCCTGAGTTCCACCCTCAACCCTCTGCCAGGGCCTCTGGGAAGAGACTTGCCTGAATTCCTGCCAAGGAAGCTGCAGAATGGAAAGTGGGGTATGAATATGTAACAGCAGCCACTGTCAGTTGATCCCTCTGTCTTTGGGAGGCATCATTTCATTCGCTGTGGAAGAACAGAGGGCACTTTGAAATGGCCTGAGGTAAGTGGCTTTTCATATATTGCCAATCAAATTAACCTTGAACCTTTCTCTGCTACTTAGACTTCTCATTCTTTTCCTTCTTTCTCCATCACTGAAAATTAAGATGATGTGCATAAAACCACTTTCCATCTGCAATATTGCGCTTTGTACTCCTTCCCCTCCCCAGGGAAGAGGGAGAAGAAGGGTTCTGTGCATCCGTCAAGCTGACTGCGACTCAGAGTGGGGAGGAGCAAGACTGTCACGGAATCCAGAAGGCACCATGGCTGCCGGTCTCAACACAGTAATTGCTTCTCCCATGCCCCCTGTCCTCCTGCATTTGATCCTCAGATGCAGGGTGATCCTTAGAGCTGAGCTGCCAAAGGTGGATTTAGGAGGTTTTATAGGAGCGTGGGTCTGGCTGGGGCTTTTCGGATTTCCCGATTTTCACAGTGCAGTTTGAATCTGCGATTCAGAGTGGTTCTCCTTGGCACACCTGCTGATCTTCTCTTTATCTGAGCTGAAAGTGTCTACTGTGCAAATGTTCAGTAGTAGATCACTCAGTCTCTGTGCTTTGTGAACTAGCAGTCGGAAATCATGTACACTTGCAATAGAAGTGTGGATATGCTCACATGCATGCAAATGCTGTGAACATATATACTTTCATTTCTCAAACTGATCTCCTCAGATACAAAAGACGTATAAGAAATGTACCCTTTTGAGTAGGCCATACTTCACTCCTAAATAGTCATTCTGTAGCTTGACTAACTTTTGTTCCAGTCATGCTCTCTGTCTTCCACCGCCATGCCTTTATTAGGTGACTCCCACCCGGGCTGTGTCCTTGCCACAGTGCTGCGGCATCTAACCCTCTTATGTGACCTTCAAGGCAAACTCGCTACTCCCCACTGCCAATCCCTTTATCATCCCTGCACAGCAGAGATGATTTCTCCTTTCTTTGGGACCGCAGTAGCGCTTTGTAGCTGTTTCACGGTACCTATGTCCCATTTCATATTGCAGATCCCGATTTCTGGTTTTCCTTATTCGTCCTAATACTAAGATCTGTGTGAGCGAGGGCCCTTCTGGATTATTCGTCAGTTTCCCAGCTTGTGGCAGAAGGATTTAAAAGTGTACCGTTAAAGGAAATTTTAAAAAAAGACAAGAAAAACAAGGCCAAGGCCTTTTCTTTGTAGTTGGACAGTGTCTAGAGGCTGCTCGGGGCGGAATGACGGAGTGCTGTGACCACCCCAGATGAGGGATTTATTCTCCAAGCCTCTGCTGTCAGAGCTCTAGGGAGTCATGGGCCAGCAGCCAGAATGTTCTCAGGTACACCAGGGCTTGGGTAGTGTACTTTCACACTATTTATGCACATTCCGTCCAGCTGAGTTATTTCTGAGCAAGATGATACAATACACATTCAGTCACATGCTTTCCTCTCGAGGCTGTGGGCCCAGTGAGGCAGAAAGAAGAGGATCAGTAAGAGAAAGTAAATAGTTGCATCTTATCGTGATACTGGATAAAGGGACACACTGATTGGCAGACAAGAAGGAGATGGTTTAGGCAGACATGTAAAGCGGTAAAGGCAGTGCCAGAAAGATGTGGGTATGTGTATGGTGTGTGTGTGTGTGTGTGTGTGTGTGTGTGTGTGTGAGAGAGAGAGAGAGAGAGAGAGAGAGAGAGAGAGAGAGAGAGAGAAACATTGCTGACATTCATTGTTTTCCCTCCTCAAGACTGAGGAATATCAGAATGTAGGAAGTAGGTGAGACGGCTTTAAAATTAAATGTGCATTTATTTTATCATTGTTCTTTCTTCTTAAGTCATGACCCATTAAAACTTTTGGTGGCTATACAATTTGTTTTCCAAATTGGCACATTTTTTAGAGTAAAAGCATGAGCCTGGGCTGTCCCAGCCAAGTGCTCCCCTTGGCAGCACGTACCCTAAAATCAGAACTGTCCGGGCAAGCCGAGATCCAGGGCCAGCTCGGCACTCATGTCTTCTACGTGGGCAGTAGTCTAATGGGTACTTGATAGCTGAAGCTTTGGTCTTGTACTGAGGACATTTGGGGTTTACCGTTCATTGCTTTCTGAAAAGTCTTTTGTACATATTTTAAAAACGTAACCTATCAGAATCAGCAGCGGCCAGTTTCCACTCCTCCACACACTAGGCGCACACTTTCCTGGATCAATTTCCAGACACCCCTGGGACTGCCCATTGCTTCACTGCTTTCTTACTGGTTTCCACTGCAACAGCTTTCTCCCTCCCGACTTCCCTCTGACACTGGTTCCAGGTTGTGTTTCTCTTGTCCTCATTTCCACATGTTCATTTCAGGGAAGTTTTGCTTTACCTGTGGTTGTGCTGCGGCTGAGTTTCTTCTGCAGTTAAACTTCAGCGGGGTTGAGGTGATGTTGATCAAACCAACCGAGATGCCCGTGTGGGGAGCCGAGGCTCGCTACTCCGGAGGAAGATTACTAACAGCAGCGCACCAGAGTGCATAGGTTTGGTTTGGATGGAACGTGCTGCTGTTCAGAGAGGCAATTTGAGTGGCAGATGTGCCTAATGAAAAAAATATAGTTTTCTTCTCTTTCCCCTAAAGCTTTATCCATACCAACCGAGAGAAATACAGAGTTATCTGGAAAATCCAGGCTGAACACTTTTACTACCCCAAACTAAAATTATACTGTTTTGAATCATCTGTATTGATGGCTAACATTGATTGAATTCCCTGACTTATTGCCCAAATCTTTATTTCATTTATCTATTGTAGAAAATAATGCCAAGATGCTCTTTAATCTAATGCTCAGCAGGGTGG